AGTAGAGGTGTTAAGCCGCGAATTTTGATACAGTAAATGCGTTTTGTGCTTGATCTAGTGGTAAATATTAACATCGTTCGCAAATGTCAACAAATACGCTACATTTTATCACCAATTTAACAAAAAGTATTTAATTTGCAGACAAAAGAAAACACTGCTCTAAAACTAGACATATTTAGCTTCACAATATTGTTTAGTTTGGAAAAATCGATGAAGTTATGATGAAGAAATAAGTTGAAACATTACCTTGGTCGTACTCGGTGTGCAGCTTTCTACTTTCTTGTTCATAATGCTTCATAGACCTGCGTCATTTGCATAAATTTGCACATGTGCTTTCGTGGGCCGCTTTTGAATATTAATTAAGTAAAAATGACGTCAAAAGGTCAACATACATTAATTTTGCATTTATTGATAAAGGATATACATGTACATGCAGTTCAGATTTAAATCCACGTCTTGGGCGTAAAAAAAATACTGCATATGTAAAAGTAAAAACAAATACAAAATGTCAATTAACATTTTTATTACGAATGTACAAAAAGGTCTTAATATGTAACTAAGAGGAAAGATACCTGTTTTTTCGGTAGACAGAAAGTGAAGTAGACATTATGTGTTAGGAAAATATATTACGTGATGTCCATCGTGTTAACACATGACATTTAAGTGTGTACAAGTACAAATCATATAAGATATTAGCTACTGAGTATCGGTTGTCGAACTCATCAAAGTGTATAAATCATAATTGATATAAATCAGGTAACAATTATCCAAATCATCAAAATTGTTTTCTATTGTTTTTATTTTTAGAGTTATTGCCCTTGACTCAGTAAAATTTTGCAATTTTCAACTTGTGTCGCACTAACTCAAAAATGATTTGACATAGAGTCATGAAACCTTACGGGAATGTTGGTCAGCATATGTAGTTGTGCACCTTGGGTTTCGCTTGTGGATTTATCCAGTATTTGTAGAGTTATTGTCCTTGACTTAGTAAAAACCGTTTTATTATGTCGTGTTATTTGTTCCTTGAGTGCTTGAGTTAGAATCAACCAACTTTACAGGAATAATGATCAACATAAATGTAAAGCTATGCACCTGGGACTTTGCATGTGGATTTTTTTTAAAGTTTTGTTAGAGTTATTGCCCTTGACTTACAGTAGTATAAATTTGAATTTTCAACTTGTTCATGCATAGCTCAAAAATATTTGACTTGTAGGCCTGAAAGTTTATAAGAATGTTGGCCAGTATGTGTACTTATGCACTTTGGGTTTGCTTGTGGATTTGTTCAGAGTTTGTAAAGTTCTTGCCCTTTACTTAGTAAAAGATTTTTAGTTTTCAACTTGTGGCACATGTATTCCTAAACATATTTGACCTAGAGTCATAAAATTGACAGAACAGTGGCGTGTGGGGGCACCCGTGTCTTATGGACACATTTCTAGTTTATCTTTAACACCACGCGGTCTAAATTTAAATTACTGATGAAGAAGTCGTCTAGAATGATACAATGATACCCTTAACAGAGGACTTTTATATGCGCTTTTTGATCATTAAATTATTAGTCCCGCATATTTTGAAATACCTGTAAATATGAATTCAAGTTTTAAGTAATTACTGCTTTAAATCATCTAAGGGTTACTGTTTTCTTGATGACATAACTTGAAATCACGTCTATTAATAAAGCCTTTAGTATAATAAATTGTAATCTTTTGTAATTGCGTGTTTTGCTCTACGCAGAATGCACATGCGCGAAATGCAACATCGGTTACTATGGTAAAATCGTATTGTAAAAAGTTTTTGTATGCAATTTAATTAAGCAGAAAGAAATATTGGTTCAGTGCTTGTAATTCAATATCATTCTTTTGTGGTTTCACTAAATATGTGTTTTCATATATGTAATATATGTTTGATTCTTATTTATTGTGTTATTATATCCATGTATTTGTTGAACTATGAATAGTTGAATACTTGAAGAATAATTGCAATGTGGATGACTGTTTCTGTATGATATGTCCTTGCTTTTTTATTTCCTCAGGAATTTGTAGACAAACGGATAAATGATTTGTTTTCGTTTGAATAAGAAAATAAGTTGTTTTATTAAAGCATATGCAAAATATGATAATTTGCACCAATTGAGATTCAAATTCAAATTTCTAAAGGGAACAAAGACGCATGCGAGTTTACAGGAGTACTTGCACCGTGATAGAACAGACGCATTCTCTCAAACGTAATGAACCGAACATATCTTAAAACCTTCACATTTAAGTTTGTTTACTTAATCTTTATTCTCAGATTTCGACAGCTGTTCGAACACAAAAGTTTGACGATTGCTTCATATGAGTTGTTACATACGTTTAAACGTTTAAAATAAACTCTCACAAGTAACATCTTGCAGTAAGCCTTTAAATACCTGGTAAGCAACATTGCCAGCCCATACCTTACGTGAAGCGCAGTGACAGCATATCATATATGTAATAGAAAGAGCACCGAAACACGAGGTTATCTGATTTGTACGAGGGGGCGTAGCCCCCGAGTATTAATCAGATGACCAAGTGTTTTGGTGTTCTTTCTCTTTTGTATCATAGTCAAACATAAAAACACGTTCCCTGTTGTTACAATATGAAACCCCGGCAAAAATGAACCAATGAACGAGCATCTAAATATGACATTTCTGTCGATTTCACGTTCACTGCCGTCACAATATGTAAACCCCAGCAAAATTGAGCCAATCAATGGGCATGCTCTGGAGTGCGGGTAACTAATACCCGCACTCCAGTTAACGCACTGTGCATGTATATGTATACGATTTAACCCTGACACATTTTCAACAGAAAGGTCTCCAAACTATGATACAATTGTTAAATATATCATCGGCACTGCATATAATATTAACAAAAAACTATGTTGACTTTCTTTTGCTTGGTTTGGATGCTGCTTGTCTCCATCACTGAGTCAACGTATCAAGTGAAAAAAAACGGGTATGTTTTCAAAATATACTGTTAAAGATTTAGTGGTGTACTTGTAATTAACGTTTGTTTGTTTTATAGTACTATTGTCAATGGTAGTATTTATCATATAGTTTTTTTTGTTATGACAAACGGCTGGTTTATATAGATTTTTATTTTTGAGGAAAATAACAAACAGCCTATTTCTTTTTGTTTCCACTCGAAGTTTAATAATTTAATTAAATAATTTAATAATTTAAGATAAATTGTACATGAAAAATGTTCATTCTACATGCACTTGTTACAAGATACAATGAAAGATTGCGACATAATTGATATAGATAACTAATGTGACTAAGTACAGAACATCGAATACCTAGCAAAACTCCCTCATTTTCTTTAAAACATGATTGTTATATATTTATTATCATTATTATTATTATTAAAATAAATCGTCCACCGTCGTTATCAGGTAACAATTTTTAAATATTTTGAGAAAAACTAAACATTGGTTTGGAAGTATATCTATATATAATTCAGTTCAAATCAAGAAATTCCCATAGATAACGTTTGAGCACGTTGTCTAAATACTGAATACTTAAGGCGATGCTAAAATGTGTGGTAGATAGTTTTAAAAAACCACTACCGTCTATGTACAGACTCAACATAATCGAGGTAGCAGCATTTTAATTTTGCCATTTTTGTCTTCTTTCGGAACTCGGGTTTTCTCTACTTTATTAATCTTCTCATTGCTTGACACTAACACAGCTTAATTTTCTGGAAAAATATATCCTCGAAAAACTAATTATTACGGTGTTCCGTTTGGATAATCGTGTTTTTATTTAGTCTGTACCCGCGATGCACGATGGAATGATGATGAAAACGCGATGGCACGCTGGTACGATGGTGAAAACACGACGGTACGACGATGAAAACGCGATGGTACGATGATGAAATGTCGATGGTGCGATAGTGATGTGACATCGCGATTTCACCATCGTACCATACCATCGCACAATCGTGTTTTCATCATCGTACCATCGCGTTTCCTAAGTCGTGCCACGTTTTCACCATCGTGTCATTGTGCTTTTACCACAGTACAATCGCGCTTTCACAATCTTACCATCGTGTTTCACCATCGTGCCATCGCGTTTTCACCATCGCACCATCGCGATTTCATCATCGTGCCATCGTCTTCCGGTGGTCATGCGCAATGGTACATATTAATCAACAATGTATGCCTTCTCATTATTTAACCCCGCACTCTTTCTGTTTGCGTATCTTTGAGATCTTAGCTTTTAAAACATGAAAAATAACAAAAAGTACTCAAAAAATTGAAAAATTAAATTTGCAATCCTGTGCACTATACATACATTTGTATGAGGTTTCAAGTTGATAACTTAAATACAGCACAGGAAACTAGAAGTATCCTTTAAAAAGGATACTCGGTCGAAGTAAAACTGGTTAACATGTAAAATTATGTTATTTCTAAGATTTATATAATAATTACATAATAATCATTTCTTGTAGCTAAGAAAATATACATTTTGTAAACATTTAAATTAAATTATAGCATATTGATATTACAGATTTTTCAAAATAGGACAACTTCTATTTAAGGTGTCCCTTTTCTTTGTTTTACGTTTGACTATATAAATTTTGTAATCATTTTAGAATTAACCTAAAAGTTAAAAAACGTCTCATTCCTGTACATGTTATTTTAGAACTATCCTTACATTTTATTTTAAAATGGCAAAACTATCCCTTACATTTTATCTTAGAGCAATCCTTAAAATTTAATTTTAGAATGGTAAGAACTATCCCAGCAGGCACTCGACGTTGTTTCAACGTTGAAACAACGTTGAAATATGGTCGTGACGTTGTTCAACCAATATTCAACTATGGACGACCATACGGATATATAGACAATGTATATACAACGTTGATTCAACGTTGTTTATGGTCGAAGTTTTACAAATTTGAGTGTTAAACTTTAAAGTTTAATAGTCGTAAATTTATGGGGAATGAGAAATCTATTTCTATTTTATTATATATTATTTTATATTCTAGATCCTGGTCCTGGTTGAAATTAAGAGTATTGGAGCTTTAGCCTGTATACCATACATTCAACATGAAAAGGACTGTCAGGTTTGTTAAACTGAAATTTATTCTTATGAATTTCTTTACAATACAAAGTATAAATTTTTCAACTACTGGATATTATTTTGTCTTAAAATATATTATTTTCGATATATTCGTGTAACATTATTTATATAAAAATTTTGTGGGAAGGGCTGTTGCTAATGTTGTAATAACTTGTATTATATAGTTGCAATAAAATATTATTAAACTAAATATAAAATTTACATGTTTGTTGATTTCAGGATGCTGCATAAAATGGTCTTAGCTACAGCGTAGAATGTTGATTTCTTTGGAATATGCTGCAAGGAACTGACGGGGAGCAGTTTTTCTTACCAATCATAGGTGAGACTTTTAAATAGCTTCTTTTTAAAAAAGATTTTGCTGTATTTGCTGTCAATATGAAACTTAGCTATATTTCAATTTCTATGCTGTTTTATGATGTAAATCTTTATTATAAGACTTAGAGAAAAGCATTTTAAGATGAAAAGAAATCACTAAGTTGAGTAATTATATGTATAATTTTAGATTGACCAAGTCACTTTTAACTAAAACTTCTTATTTTTATTTGCAGAAGCAGTAAGAGACAGCCAAAGAAGTACTCAAACAATTGACATACCCAGAAAGATCTAGAAGAAAAGATTGGAACAGATTGTAGTTTAAATGATAAAACTACTAAAGTGAATTTAAGCTGCACTTGAACTGTATTTTTGAAATAAAATATCTGAAGTATTTAATATTGTCTTGATATTTTGTTAAACTTGGTTACTTTGCTTTATATCCAAAAGTTAAAGTATGGTGGGTTTTCAACGTTGAAATGACATTGAAACTACAACGTTGTGCCAACGTTGAAGCTGCAACGTTGTATCAACGTTGAAATTTCAACGTTGTTTCAACTTTCAAATCCGAATATAAATCCAACCTTATTTCAACGTTGAAATCTGACCATAATTCAACGTTGAAACAACGTTGATGTGCCTGCTGGGATCCTTTACATTGTATTTTAGAATGACCAATGAGATTCACCGACTTCAGTTTAATGAAATATATTGACAATTAAAGATCTTAAGCGAAATAAGGCGCCATGACAAGTTTTTCATTGAGACGTCCGACATACTAATCGGTCATTTCAAGGACTGTTTTAACACTATATTTGATTCCGGTTATTTTCCAAAGGTTTTGTCTTATGGTTATATCGTACCATTATATAAGTACATTAATTAGTAGTTTTGGTAAATTATTTACAAAGGTATTAACAAAACTGGTTGAAAATTGGGTGCATGATAATAATAAACAGACTGACGCACAATTCCATTTTCGTTCAGTTTTGCACTCTTTAGTGAAACGAATACTATTCCAAAACTCACGTCTTTATTATTGTTTAATAGACATTAAAAAAACTTTCGATTCAATCTATCGTATTGCTATTGGTATAAACTTTTTAAACTTGGACAAGATGAAAAATTTATCAGAATATTTATGATATGTACCTTCGGTGTCTTCCTGTGTTAAACACTGTAATACTTCGTTAGACTGTTTTGATATATCGATTGGTCTAACGCAGGGCCTAAAATTATTCGCCGATTTTGTTTGCTTTTTTCTGGAAGATCTAGAACAATACCTAAATCAAAGCACAGAAGGCGCTGAATTTGTTTAGGTCTCAGAATGTCAGAAAGGTGAAGGTTGTGAGATTCTAAACCAATTTGTTTTTGTATAGTGCCACTAATGCTTTCCAGCGTTACAATTGTTGTAAATTGTCTATAAGACTAATTGCAACACTGATATTCAATTCAATGTTTATTTGACTTAAAATTTGAAAAAGAAAATGAGTTGCCTACACTGGGATTTGAACTTCAAACCTCTCGCTTCCTAAGAGAGCGCAACAAATCCCTCGGCCACGGTGAAGAAATATGCTAACGGCCTGAAGAAAACAATATTATTTTAAATTAGGGTTTGTAGCGACGCTAACTGTTGTTTAACATAGATGTAAATACTCATGGAGCTTACTATAAGCATTTATATATATATATATATATATATATATATATATATATATATATATATATATATATATATATATATATATATATATATATATATATATATATATATATATATATATATATATATAAAGAATAAAACAATATAAGAAATCTTCGACCATTCGATTTTGCTTGAAAATTAATGCGCCTGTCATTTGACCATCTTTACGCAGTGATCTCCCCTGAATTTTTTGGCGTTAGTGTACATATAAAGGGAAGTAACCGCTTCAAAAAAGCGGACTACTTTCGGCATTTGCAATTAACAGCATCAGAGTCTGAAATTTCGCTACCATTATTTGTTTGGTCTGACGACCCAAACAAATAAACATAATACTTATAATAACAACGACAAGGTTTTCACTTTTTTGATATATGTATGATTATTTTACTGTTTGCCGACGAGATGGTTATATTAGGAAAGTCAATTGAAGAATAAAAATCGAATCTAAATAATTTAAAGCTTAATTGTGATAAATGGGTGTGATGAAAGGGGCCTTGAGGTAAACACAGATAAAACTAAAACAATGAAGAGAGGAAGAATCAGAAAAAAATGAAAAATGATCATACGATAATACTTTATTAGAGACTGTTGATAACTTCAACGATTTGGGTGTAGTCTTTAATTATCTTTGGGGTCTTTTTAGCTTCATAATCAATATGTTACAGGAGAAGCTTTAAAAGCCCATCTTAATATTAACAAATATGATGTGACCCCTTCCGTTTTACTTCAATTCTTTGATGCATTTGTTGCCTCAACACTCAATTATTCTTGTTTTCAGTATGGGATTTTACAAAATCTAAAGATATAGAAAAGATTTATTCGAAATTTGCAAAGTCATTGTTAAGCACAGTTTATTCGGACTTTGGCCGATATCACTTTTATATTCAAAGTTATGATCAATAATAATATAAGATTCTTGTTATATTATTTTTCATTCAAATAATAATATCTTTTTTTTATCAAAAGGTCTTCATTGAAATTGTTATAACTCCTGGGCAGCTTAAGTACATTCTATTTTAAATGAATATGGATTCACAGATGTTTGGCTCAACCCATTGCAATACAGTCAAAAAGAGTTTGTTCAAATATTCAAACGTAGATTAGTTGATTATTTTATACAAAAGGTAACTGCAGACCACTGTTGTCTAGTCTGTCTGTACATTTGATTGACAAATTTGTATTAAATCCTGCTGACAAAAGTTTTCTTCCATTAGGTTATCTCTCATAAATTAAAGATAGAGTCAGAGAGGTTTGGTCCTAATAGACATCCTCGTCCAAAACGAAAATGCAAATTATGTAATATTCAAGAAATAGAGGACGAATTTCATTTATTATCATTTGTTATTGCTATAAGTGCATTACGCAGGGAGTTCATTAAGCCATATTTTTACAGAAGGCCGAGCATGTTTTAATTTTTGCAGCTTTTGAATTCAAAAAATAAATCAA